CTCCCCCTCTCCCGCTCTCCCGCTCTCCCGCTCTCCCGCTCTCCCGCTCTCCCGCTCTCCCACTCTCCCGCTGTCCCGCTCTCCCGCCCTCCCGCTCTCCCGCTCTCCCGCTCCTCCTGACTCTCCCATTCTCCTGTTCTGCCGCTCAGGGCCCGAAGTGATGCGGAGGAGGAGGTGGAGATGGAGGAGGAGGAGGATGAGGAGGCGGAGAGGATGGAGGTAGGAGGAGGAGGAGATGTAGGAGGAAGGGCAAGGAGGAAGAGGTAGAGGAGGAGGATGAGGATGAGAGGAGGAGGAGGAGGAGGAGGAGCAGGATGAGGAGATGAGGATGAGGAGAAGCAGGAGGAGCAGGAAGAGGAGGATGAGGAGGAGGACGAAGACGAGGACGATGAAGCAGAGGAGGCGGATGAGAATGATGAGAAGCAGGAGTCTGATGATCTGGAGAGGAGGAGGCGCAGGAGGAGTTGGAGGCATATGAAACGAAGGAGTCGGAGGATAATGAGGAGGAGGAGGAGGAGTTGGTAGAGGAGGAGGTGCAGGAGGAGGAGGATGAGGAGGAGGCGGATGAGGAGGGGGCGGAATAGGAGGGGGCGGAATAGGAATCAGGAGTAGGAGGAGCAGCAGCAGGGGTGAGGAGGAGGAGCAGGAGGTGGGGTGAGGATGAGGAGGAGGACCATCAGCAGAAGGAGGAGGGAATGGTATAGTAAGTTGTCATTGACTGTAATGCTCCTCATCATCCTTCCCATCCTCTCCTTGTCTCATCCCCACTTTTATCCTTCTCTTCAAATCCCAGTTCAGCCTTCTACTTACGCTGCTGTCCTATGCTTATGATGATGATGACGCCGGTGTTGATGATGATGATGATGATGATGATGATGATGATGATGATGGTGCCGATGGTGATGGTGGCGATGATGACGATTACAATTGTCCCGATGCCATGGGGATGATGATGGTGACGATGGCGATCGTGGCGATGAGAATGACGATGATGATGACGGTGACGATGGCGATGACGATGACGCTGACGATGGCGACGGTGAAGATGGTGACGATACTGGTGCTGATGATGATGATGATGATGATGATGATGATGATGACTGCGGTGGAATCTGGGCCCGGGCTACCACAGACTGCACTGCCCTCCCGTTCTCCCGCTCTCCCTGTCTCCTGCAGAGAGAGAGAGAGGGAGAGAGAGACACACCAGCGCCAGGAAGAGTCACGCGTGAACCCCAGATCAGGAGATGAGATCGAGAGCGAGGGGGGAAGAGCGAGAGCGAGGGAGGATGGGTGTAGGCGCTTAGGGCCATCATATAGCTAGCCTCCCCTGGCGCTCACCTTGCAGTGCCACTGATGTCATCATCGCCACCATCACCACCGCGAGGACCATCAACACGATAACCAGAATACCCAGCAGCACCAAGACCACCACCATGATCGCGATCGACAGCATCACCTAGACTTCCAGCGTCACCATCACCGTCGCCATCGTCATCGTCATCGCCACTAGCACCAGCAGTCCCTCCCACCAAGATCATAGTCGTCACTGTCATCATCAACATCACCGCCAGCTGGGGCACCACATCTTCACAGGCATCATCTCCATCGAACTATTATCAAGATGGGGGCCATCACTACCACCACTATGACTATCACGATGATGCCACTACCTCCTGGCCACCAGCACCACGACACCATCGTGTGCAGTGGCATCAACATCGTCATCGTCATCCTCAGTTGCACCATCATCACTCCCACCTGGCACCACCATATATGTATCGCAACCAGCCCCTGGGACATCACCGCGAACACCACCTAGTCAACAGCTAACACCAGTATCATCACGATGACCTCCACTAGTAGCTGGGCATGCAGCATCGCACCAATACCGTCGCCATCACTACCAGCAACATCAATCCCGCCCACCACCTTAGCACTCTTTATCGTCATCATCGTCATCACCGCCATTTGGATCACCACCACTGGCAACAACTCAATTTGGCAGCATGACAAGTGGACCATCACAGCGACCACCATCAATACCATGCGCACATCATTACCACCTGGCCACGAAGTCGACAACACTGACATAACCGTTTAGCATATGTAGTCATCATCGCCAGTACACCACCATCACTGCCACCTGGTCCGCCACCGCCACCATTTGCCAAGACACCCATCATCTGCACTGCAACCCGTCTCTGGGCCATCACCGCCAACGCCATCTGGCCAAACACTTCCGCCACCATCATCATCACGACTACCTGCGGTCGTAGCCGGGCAGACACAACTGTAACATCGCCACTGTCACCATCGCAAGCAGTACCACCCCACCCACCCCGATGATATTTTTGTCATCGTCATCACAACCACCGGGACCATAATCACTACCACCGGCCTCAACTCCACTGGAAGCAGCGTTTCCAACACCTCGGCCGTCACCATCGCCACCATACTTGGCCCAATACCCTCACCATCATACTAATCGCGTTTATGACAATCACGTCTACGACCTGGGCTACCAACACGTCAAACCCGCTGTGACGTTACAATCAATATCATGTGTGCCAGCATTACTACCGTCACCATAGTGATTGCGGTACGAGTTGAGATGATAATGGAAATATTGATGAATGCGGCACGTGTCGTGCCTTCTCGTCTGCTACACTTCTCCGTTTCCTCCTGGTCTGCTATTCTGCTCCCCTGATCCGAATGGTCCTCTATCCTCCTCCTTATCATGGTCCTGAGCCTCATCCTTCCCCTGAGCCTGGCCGCTTGTGAACCTTACTCATTCTCCTCCCTTCTCCGAACATTACTCTTGGCGTTTCTACTAATCCTATTCCGCCTTCCTTCTTCTCCTCCTGATCTTCGTCCTCGTCTTCACCCACGTCGTACTCCGTCATCCTTCCCCCCTCCTCAATGAGATCCAACATGACCTTTGTACTCTCTCCGAGTCTCGCAACTTACCCACCCACCACCACCACCAACACCTCCCAGAGTGCCGTCATCACCACCATCAGCATTATTAGCATTATCTCTAATACCAGTTGGACCGATTGCATTAGCTTTAATCCATCATCGACAACCACATCAACATCATCACCATCACCGACACCATCATCATCGCGACCACAAACTGGCCACATCCATCAGTATCGTCGCCACATCCAAGACCGTGGTGAGCACCACCATCATGGCGATCATGACAATCCTCAGAAACACCAGGACTTCCACCATCGCGATCACCACCAGCACCTAGACCACCGTCGCCACCAGCATGAACAAGACCCGACTGCCCACCAGCTCCACAATACCATCATCAGAATTGGCATCGTCATCGTCGCTAGTAGCATCAGCAACAATGAGCCCTGGTCGACCACTGCCACCATCTTCGCCACCACAATCATCATCATCATCATCATCATCTGCACTGCGACAATACATGGGCCACCATTGCTACCACCACGTGGCTAACAACGACCACCGCCATCATCATCAGCACGATTGTATCCACCAGTAGCCAGGTAACCAACTCTGCAACACCACCGTCTTCATAGTCTCAAGCGCCGTCACCAAGCCTACCGCCATGATCATCCCACAACACCGTCATGCTCGTTATCGCCACCACCATCGTGACAAACACCTAGGGCGTCGCCACCACCGCCATCTCCATTGTGAACATCGCCCCCCGCCACCTGGACCGCCTCCACCGCCGTCATCGTTGCCACGGCCGCCTCGCATTAAACCAGCGATTGCAAGCTGGACCGTCAATGCCACAACGCTGCCATCGCCGTCACAAACACTATCATATGGACCACCACTGCCACCACCCCCACTGTGACTCTGGTACTGGTTGCGTCGGCACTGAAGCCAGTGAAGGGTATGTTGATGCAGGTGATCAAAGTGGTGTTAGCTTGTAGTGGTGAAGACGGTGATGGCAGAGATGGAAATCCAGGTGGTGGCCATGCTGAAGACTGCGAAGGTGCTAATGGTGAGGATGGTCGCTGTCGTGGTAGACGTAATATACATGATGGTTGTGGTGTTCCAGAGGGCAGCGATGATTACGATTACCATCGTAGTGGTGGCCTAGAGTGGATAATGATGGAGACCATGGTGGTCCAGGGGGTGGTGGTGATGCTGTTTGTGACGGTAATGGCAACGTTGTGGTATTGGCAGGCCAGCTTGCAATCGTGACGGCCATGACGATGATGATGTTGGTGTGGTGCTGATTTAAGGCGATGCGGCTGTGGCAACGACGAAGGTGGGAGAAGTGGTGAGGCGGAGGCCTCACTTTGCGAGCGCAGCTCCGATTTTGAAGTGGTTTCGCTGATTCACTGCGCGCCTTTTGCTACAAAACGACATCTGGTAGATCATAGGGGGGGGGGCGAGCATATATATATATATGTATGTATGTATACATGTATCTACTGCACGTCATCTATTGCACAATGCAGATTGCACAACGGAGATTGCACACCTTAAATTGTTAGAAACTCACCGTGTGGGGTCCACGCTGGTTAACATTAGCATGATGTGTCATGTTATTCTCCCATCGCCTACATCACCCTCACCATCCACATCATCCTCATCATCATCATCATCATCATCATCATCATCATCACCATCAGCATCATCACCATCAGCATCATCCTCACCCATCAGCAACATCATCAGCATCAGCACTAGCATCAGCATGACAATCATCAGCGTCGTCATCATCATCAGCGGCATCACCATGATCAGCATCAGCCTCACCATCATCAAATATCATCATCGTCAGCATCATCATCCTCAGCATCATCAATGTGGTCATTATCAATAGTAATGTTAATGGTGGTACTATTAGTATTCTGATTGTTGTTCTTATCATCATCATCATCAGCGTCAGCATCAGCATCAGCATCATCAGCATCATCAGCATCATCATCATTATCATCATCATAATCATAGTCATCAACCCAACAGCGGCAGCATCATTCCATCCCTCGGCCGCGAGGCGCCTCGCAGGCATCCAGCAGCCCCGCGCCCGCCAGCCTCGGCAGGCAAAACCCCCCAGGGGTCAGGACCAGAGGGGGGAAAACCAACAAGAAAGAAAAGAGGGAGAGAAGGAAGAAGGAGGAGACGGAAAACGAAGAGGAGGAGGAGGAGGAGAAAGGGAAGGAGGACAAGTTGGGGAAAGAGGAGTGGCGCAGAGGTTGCGTGAGGAGGGGGAAGGAGGAGGAGGAGGAGAAGGAGGAGGAGGAGGAGGAGGAACGGGAGGAGGAGGAGGAGGAGGAGAAGCGGGAGGAGGAAACGGATGAGAACGAGGAGGAAGAGAAGAAAGGAGGAGGAGGAGGAGGAGAAGGAGGAGGCGGAGGAGGAGGAGGAGAGAGGAGGAGGAGGAGGAGGAGGAGGAGGAGGAAGAGGAGGAGGAGGAGGAGGAGGAGAAGGAGGCGGAGTGATGAGAAGAAGAAGGAAGAAGAAGAAGAAGAAGAAGAAGGGCAGATGAATGGCGAGTGCATGGAGGAATTGCCAGATGAGGAGGGGAGGGGGAAGGGGTGGCAAGAGGGAAGGGGGGAGGAGTAAAGGCCAGGAGGGGAAGGCCGACGAGGAGGAGCAGGAAGAGGACGACGTCGGCGACTGCATACACGCACTCATACACGCACGCACACACATACAGACACACACACACACACACTTACGCGCGCACGCACACACAGGTTTGCAGCCCGCCAGCAGCCAGCCCACGCCGCCCTCGCCGGACTTGGCCAGCTGCAGCAGCAACCTCGCAGGCCGAGGGGACCACGCGGCCGAAGTGATCCTTGCTCCTCCCCCCAGAGGAGGAGAAGGAGGAGAAGGAGGAGGAGGAGGAGGAGGGCGAGCAGGTGAGGAAGAGGAGAAGTGAGGAGAAGTGAGAAGGAGAAATGTGGATAAGTGAGGAGGAGCAATGAGAAGGGAGGAATATACGGGAGGAGCGAGGAGGGAGAAGGATGTAGGCGGTGGGAAGCGAGGAGGAGGCAGAAAGAGGAGAAAAGATTATGAAGAGGAGGGAGAAGGACGGATGATGATAATGATGATGGAAGGAGACACGGAAGAGGAGGAGGAGGCGGAGGAGGAGGAAGAGCGAAGAGAAAACATACAAGGAAACATAACAAATAACGTACGGAGAACAACGGACGACGGTGGGGAGGAGGAGGGGGGAAAACAACGGAGGAGGACATGGAGTTGAGTAGGATGGGGAGAACGAGGGGGAGGGGAGGGAGGAGGAAGGAGGGAAGAGGAGGAAGGAGCACCCAGGAGAATCCAGCAAAAACAATGTCGAGATTGCTGTGCAAACCGTGCCACGGTCAGCCCGCGCAATCTGGCTGCTGTCGGCTGGTGCAGCCACGCGCCCCCAGCAGACCAAATCTGGAGTCGTGGCCGCCGCTGCTTGCTGTGTTACGGGGGCTCTTCGAAGAAGGTTCAGCAGCCGGGCCACACTGTGGCGTGCTAGCCCCTCCTGCACAGCACGAGCTGCTCGGCACCGACGGCGCCGCTGCGTAGGACGTCGAGCCCTCGAAGTCAAGGCCAAACACCGCTCGCCGAGGACGCATCTGGCCAAACCTGATATGATACCGCCCGCACTGAGCATTCAAGGTGAACCATGGGCTAATCTCCCAGGCTTCAGACGCGCAAGGGGGGAAGCCTCATGCATCCACCCCAGGCTGAGGACATCTTCTTCATAGTGATAGGGGCCCACGCACGCACAGCGCCTGAAGGGCTATGCACGGAGGAGGGGGAGGCTTGAGCCACTGGCACCTCTGTGATGCCAAGACTGGTAGCTCACAGCTCCAATCGTGTAGCTCGCCTTGTCCAACTCGCAAGTGAGGTCGCCATCTGACACGTCGTTCGGCTGGTCAGTGAAACGGCATGTGTGACGCTACTCGTTGGCGCCCAAGCTGTCCAGCATGACGCCATCACTGTAGTCGGTGTGGGCCATGGGGCACATCTCGAAGTCGGTGGACACGCGGGCCTCGTAGGGATGGCCTTGAAAATCCTTCATATCCCTTCGAGAATGCCGTTGGATCGCGGCGTTCCCTTCGTAGTTCGTCGCCGTCACAAGCACGCAGGGGAGGTCCACGGCCGAGATGTCGAGCGCGATACTGCCCCGGGAGCGTCTCTCGCCGCACCAGGAGACCAGCCCCACGAGCGGTGGGTCTGGCACGCTGCTGGTCTTGGAGCTGACAGTGTTCGAGCGTTGCTCGATTTCCTCGTAGCTCGTCTTCGCCGCAGGCTCGCAAGTGAGGTACAAGGCCGGCGCGTCGAACACGAAGTTCGAAATGCGGTCTGCGGAGCCCATCTCGCCGTCGCCGCACCGGCTGGCGAACTTCTCGAAAACGCTATAGATGGGGCGCGTCTCGAAGGCCGTGGTCACGGGGGCCACGCTGCAGTATCCCAGGGTGTCCGGCATGCCAGCTCCAGAGCACCACTCGTCTCAGTGTCAAGCCATGGGGGTGGCCCTGGCCTCCGCGGGACAGCGGCGGCCAGGGGCGATTCGGGTCGCCCCGTTCTCGAAGGCTCGAAACTTCCCCTCGACGCCTGGGAGGAGGGACGCTCCACTGAAAGAGATGAGACGACGGCAGTCGTCTCATGCGTGGCCTGGCAATGCGTGGCCTGCCTACTGCTGCGCGGGCACGTGCACGGGCATGGGCAGCTAATGACGCCGACGACACGATGTCTAGAACACGGAGGGTGTTCAACCAACAGGTCAAGGGCGAGAAGACACGAACAAAGAGAGGACAGGGAGGGACGTGGAAGACAGGAAAGAAAGAGAAGAGGGAACGGACCAGGACCAGACAAATCAACCAGGCCAGGATCGGGAAGAAGGGTAAGGAAAGCGCTCACGACCCGAAGAACAACAGGACACCTAAGATCATGTCGAAGCTTATCATTCATCTCATGACCACTGGCACGACAGGGGCGAGTCTCCGATCGATATCTGGCTGAGGTATTCCACGCAGTAAAATGATCTTCCCACAGGCAGTAGCACATGATTCGGGGAGACGCTTCGCAGCATTTCGAAATCAGAGTAGACTAAAACAGACATCATATTGGTCAACTTGGTCCCACTTCGCCAACTTCATAGTGAAGACCGTGAGACAGAAAAAAGAGTCAACACACTGAATATAGACACGCATGCACTTGGCCTGAAACTGTGGCACTCAGCAATCAGTAGGCATGTTAGAGATAGCATACATGATGGCATTGACATGTTTAAGATGAGCATACATAGAACGACGATAGTACCTGGCATGCTCCCAGATAATGTAAAGCTCATCCTGGTTGACCAGGTCTTCAAGCAAATACTGGGCGCCATAGAATGCGCAAGACCGCTGAGCAATCCTATCTGCAGCAACCCGAGCGTACTGAAGCAAGGAGCGGGCAGACTGCTGGTGGCCAAGCTGGTCGAGGTGAGCAACATTGGGACCGAGATCACGCTTCTTAGCCCTGCATTCAGCAGCTGAACACGCTCGTTCTCCACCACGACGCCTGGGAGGAGGGGGAGGAGGATGAGGAGGAGGAGGAGGAGGAGGAGGAGGAGGAGAAGGAGGAAGAGGACACGAGAGGAGGAGCCGTTTGAAACCTTTTGGCCAAACCGAGGGGCCGAGCTACACCCAACGACGCTGGCACACCTCAGGCCAACCACCGAAGCTCTCGACATGACACGTTCCTGCGCCGATACAGGTTTCACTCGTCCACCCGACGAGCATCTCCTCTCGCGCTCTCCCAGCTGTCATAGCAAGGGCACTCGTGGCAGTGGGCACCCAATCCACCGCTGAATCCTTGAGGCAAGGGGAAGCCCACCAAAGCTCCCCGTAAGCGCGCCAACACAGGCAATCCTGCCGCCGCAAGACGGCCCGCCCTCGAGCACCGGCAGCAACTCGTCTCTACAAAGCCATGCGGGGACCCGGGTACGCATCAGGAGGGCGAGGCTCAAGCAGCGGCAGCAGCCGGCCACTCGCCTCGGCCCACGGCCGTAGCCTCTCTGGAGCCTGCAGAAGCCAGGCCAGCACGCGCCTTACCGCGTAGTCCCGCCCGCGACCACACGCCCGCGGTGTCCTCTGCACAATCGGGTAACGACGCCGCGCTCGGCACCCCATGCCTCCCGCCTGTTCTTCCGGGCCTGGGGCATGAGAACCACGCTCGAAAGCCGTGCGGGGCAGACGCTGGAGGACGCACAGTGCCCAAAACCACACCCACGGGCCCGTGGGCCACTGCGAGACAGTGGCGAACCGAGTGCACAACACTGGCCCTGGGCAGGCAGGACCCGAGCGTGCTACCAAAGGGCACCCACCTCCCCCCATCACAGGGTGGTGGGTGGTTTTGGGGCAGACCCGAAAGTTCCACCAGGGCACGTGCACGTGTTGCCCCAGCCCGCCACCCCCCAGCCCTGGGGGAGAAATGAAGGGGAAAAACAGCAGCGAGAAGGTAGGAAGCAGGAGCGTTGAAGAAGGAGGGGGAGACAGGAGGTGGAAAAGGGAGGAGACGCAGGAGAAGGAGGGGGAGGAGGAGGAGGAGGAGGAGGCTGGAGACGGCAGGACCTCCGTTCCCCCTCCCTTCCTCCTCGATTCCCCTTTTCCGCCCATCTTGGCCTCCCTCCTATGTTCACCTCGCTTCTCCTCGTCCAACTCCCCATCCTGCTGATTCCACCCCGGATTCCCATTCCTTCCCCACACACGCACATTCCACTCAAGCTGTGCCCTCGAGGGCGATGGCGGAGTGAGCGAAGGAGGGGAAGGAGGGGAAGGAGGGAGGGAGGGAGAGAGCAAGGGAGAAGGTGGGACGAGCCGATGTACCGTTCTCATCCCCGGACCGAGGCCTTGCCACCAGCCGCCTCGCGCGCGGATCCGGAGCCGACGTGCCCAGCCTCAGGAAGCCGGCAAGCTCCTCTGCAGGGCAGAAAGAAAACCTCCTCCTCCTCCTCCTCCTCCTTCGACTGCTCCTCCTTCGACTGCTCCTCCTGCAACTGATCCTCCTGCTCCTACTCTTCCTGCTCCTCCTGCTCCTGCTCGTCCTCCTCCTCCTCCTGCTCCTCCTCCTCCTCCTGCTCCGTTTCTTCCTCCTCCTCCTCTTCCTCTTCTTCTTTTCAACGCAGGCCTCCCTCTAGCCACGGCTGAAGAGTATAGGTGAAGCCTCGGTCGGAGCAGTGTACGATGGGTAGGCGAGCTCCCCCGCAGAATCCAGGATCTCCTCCTCCGATCCCCGACCCCAGTTACGAGGCAGCGGCGGCCGACGAATTGGCACCAGTGCCGTCTGCCTCCAGCAACCCGAAGACGAGTTACACGTACGACTCGTCTGCTTCCTCCTCCCTCTCCTCCTCCTCCCCCTCCTCCTCCTCCATCATCACCACCACCATCATCATACTCATCATACTCATCATCATCATCATCATCATCATCATCATCATCATCATCATCATCATCATCATCATCATCATCATCATCACCATCATCAGCATCATCATCAGCAGCTGCCTCATCCTCATCCTCATCCTCGTCAGCATCCTCATCCTCATCCTCATCATCAGCATCATCATCAGCCGCATCATCATCAGCGTCGTCCTCATCATCAGCATCAGCAGCAGAATCATCATCATCATCGTCATCATCATCGTCGTCGTCATCAGCATCATCATTATCAGCAGCATCATCAGCATCATTACCCTAAGCAGCATCAGCATCGTCAGCAGCAGAATCATCATCATCATCATCATCACTAGCATCATGAATATCATCACCATCCTCATAATCATCATCATCATCATCAGCATCATCAACGTCATAATCATACTCATCAACAGCATCAGCGGCATCATGCTCATGCGCATCATCACCATCACCATTGTCACCCTCATCAGCATCATCAGAATCAACATCATGATCACCATCAATAGCATCATCATCAAAATAACTAAGAACATTATCATCAGCATAATCATCAGCATCATCAGCATCATCAGCATCATAATCAGTTTCGTCATTCCCATCATCGTCATCATCAGCATGATCACCATCATCATCTTCTTCATCAGCATTATCGCCACCATAATCAGCAGCAGCAGAGCATCATCATCAACCACAACAGCATCATCAACATTGTCGTCATCACCATCAGCAAGAGCAGCAGCAGAAGCAGCGTCATCCTTACCACCTCCACCACCACCATCATCATCATTAGCAGCATCAGCATCATCCTCACCCTCATCATCAAAATCATCAACACCATCATCAGCACCATCAGCGTGAACAGCATCAAAAGCAGCAACCTTCTCAACATCTTCATCATTATCAGCATCATCATTATCATCACCAGAAGCATCATTATCGCCACAACCACCAGTATCATCATCAACAGCAGCAGCATCAGCATCGTCATTACCATCAGCAGCACCATCGTCAGCAGCAGCACCATCATCATCATTATAATCATCATCAGCATCATCATCAGCATCATCATCAGTATCATCATTCTCATGGCCACAACCACCACAACCACAACCATCACCATCACCATCACCATCATCATCATCATCATCATCATCACCATCACCATCACCATCACCATCACCATCACCATCACCATCATCATCATCATCATCATCATCATCATCATCATCATCATCATCATCATCATCATCATCATCCACTTCGTGTCGGCAACTCCCTGGTTCAATTTGTACGGTGCAGGGTGGGGTGAGAATGGGGGGAGGCGACAGGTGCTGACGGCTCAAGCGCTTTGGGCAGGCATTGCATCAGCGCGCTGGCAGCAGGGGTCTCACGGAGGGCGGGACACAGGGGCGAGCACTCTTCTGGTGCTTCGCGAGCCTGCCGCCGCAGGCCCACGGACCCTCGCGGGCTGCCCCCGGCAGACGAGGGGGGGGCACCGATCAATCATTGTTGTTTCCATCGCTGGCGACGGCGCAATATGTGTCCGACGCACATCGGCCGCGCAGCAGTAGTTTGCTAACGAGGGCAGCGGGTCTCACCAAACTATGCTTGAAGGGTCTAGGGCAAATTATTACGCGCATCGGTTGCGCGACCATGTCTCTTCCATGCATGAAAACCTGATGATGCGGTGCCCACGTTAGAGATGCGACTCCGGAGTCGGCAGGCTGTCCTGCCACGGGACCGTCATCGCCCCTGCCGCCCTGGTGAAACGAAGACGCCGACGCGAACGAGGGGGGAGCAGAGGAAGGAAGAAATCATTCTGTACCCTGAACAAGCGCGCCGACAAATTTGCAGTGGGCGAGCCAAAATGCAGATTCAAAAGCCGGGGTGATCGGGCACGCGTGAAGACTCACAGAACCTCTATGGCTAAGTGGAATTTTCTCGACGCGACACAACCCAAACTCCGAAACTCGCGGTGAATGCTAGAAGGCCTGGGCAGCCAGATGCGAAAAACTGGGCGCCACGCGCGGACAGCAGCAGCAAGAGCAGAGAGAGGGAACAAGCGGCAAGGAGAAGCAAAGCAGGAAGGAGGAGGGCCACGGCAAGCCATCGGTCGCGCAACAGTCGATTGCTACGCGTGTCAGTGCAACGAGTCGCACCTAACCCACGTTGTTTCAGGGGCGGGCTTATCCACGAATGGCGGCTTTGTTGCTCGCTTTCATATAATCGTCAGCGGTCGCAGGGAAGACTGCACCGCAATCCTCACAATGATCGTATTATGCGCAGCGAGCTTCACATGGTCATGACGCAACACAACTTACAATGTGATTCAAAACGCCCCCGAACACTCAAATCCAACAGTGCCGCCCCTCCATCCCATCCCTCAGCCTAGCTGGCAATTGCTCGCAGTGCCTGGTCAACTCCTCCTGGACATCCAGCTGCTCCTCCTCCTCCGCCTCCTCCCGCCTCCTCGACCCCACTCCCCTTCCCCGATCCCCTCTTCCTCGAAGGCCAGGACATCCGGCGTCGTGTCTTTTTCGCAACGTGGCTCGGCCCTTCATCCTGAGTGAACTGTTTACCGCCCCCCAAGCTGAGTGGGGCCCCTGGGAGGCCAAAACTAGCAGAAAGTTTTGCGTCGTGATTCTGTGCCACGGCGCGGGGATGTCTGGGGGGCGCAGGAATTGAGGTCATCATCCTCAGTCAGGAGCGCGTCCCGCACCTCCTCGAACTCCGAGAGCTTCTCCAGCGCGCCCAGCAGCGAGTCCGCGTCCTCCGCGTGACGGCGCGCTCGAAGGAGAGCGGCACGAGGGCAGAGGCGGCACTGCACGGATTTCCCACAGAACGCATCCTTCGACAACCCTCACACATCTCAGACCTCAGAGAGCATAGCGAATCAAATGTCGCTGCCACCACTAAAACCGTAGGACGAGGCCTGAATCAGAAGGAGGAGAAGGAGGAGGAGGAGGAGGAGCAAGGGGAGCGGGCAGCGTGGACGCAGAAGATGGCTGCCGCGAACAACTGCGACATAAAACCTCGGCCAGGGTAGACCACCACCAGTGCAAGGAGAGGAAGGAGGAAGAGGAGGAGGATTTGTTTTTCGTACGCACAGCCACTTGTACACGACCACACCCAACTATAATCTGGGGCCCCGGCCGGATTGCACCGGTGCAATCTCGGGGACTTCACGAGGCTGCGCGGCACGGCACCCCTCCTTCCTCAGCTCGCGTGGGACCTCTGTGCGAGCACCCCAGGCTATGCCCTGGCTGGTCTATGCATTCGCGAGTTTAGATTACTTCTCTTGGTGTCCTCCTCCTCTCCCCCCCATGCCGCTGGCAGAGGTGGCACTGCACGGGGGGGACCAAAAGAGATCCGCGCACGCCTCCGATGCTGCGCCCCCCTTCCCCTCCTCCTCATATTGTGTTCCTTCTCTTTCTCCTCTTCCACCTCCTCCTCCTCCGCCTCCTCCTCCTCCCCCTCCTCCTCCTTTGTCAGGCGAATGTCAAAACAAGAGCAAGCTTACAGCACTTGGCGAACTGTAGCTAACCAAGAGGAAAACTAAAGAGACACGACAGACAAGCGAGACAACGGTGAGCTGCACAGCAAGCTGCGGGCAAGCGAGAAGCAAGGTAGAAGCAAGCCAAGCCAAGCTGGCAAGGCAAGCAAAGTAAAGGCAAGCTAGGCTGCGTAAGTTAACGACGAGTGGCAAGTGAAAAGCTCAAGGCAAGCTACATCGAAGTGAACGGCGACACACACATGCAACTCGAGTGCAAGCTACATCAAGCTGACGGCGAGGAAAACAAATAAGAAGGAAAACGAAAATCCTATAAAAGCAAGCCACATAATTACAAGAGGAACTGGGGGGTACTCTCAAGAAACCTGGCCTTGAGTCACAATCATACAAGCCCTCTTGCAACAATTAAACAAGACTCCGAAGAAGTTGACGGAAGAGAAACCAGTATAAACAGAAACTGCCGGAAGTGCACGCGGATTCCTTGCACCGGCGCTGGACCCCCTTCCCTGGCGGAGGCGCCGCCAGCGAGGCCCAGCGCAGATCCAAGAAACCTGCGCGGATCTCCGCAAGCTGATGCTTAATTTGTCTGCTGCTCCCTCGATTTGAAGAAGAGAAAAAAAAAGCGCGGACACGATTCGCTCCAAATGCCCGTGGTGTGGGTCCGGATCCTCTTTCTTGTTCCAGCGCGACTGCCTGGGAAGAGGAGGAGGAAAGCTGGCGGGTCGAAGCAAGCACCCACAGGTCGCCCCGCATGCGCCTGGGATCAAGAGACCGGAAGAAGCCTCGATACGAAGACGCTCAAACATCGTATCGGCCCAACCTGATCCCACGTCTGGCTATCGCTCGAACGTCCATTCCCCGTGCACTGTTCGGCTTCGCGCGTGTCTTTGTTCGCAGATGACCTCGCCTGCTCCTCGATGGTCCCTGCCGGGAAGAAGCGCACACGTCCGAGCGATGCCCGGAAATATAGGACAGCCCCGCCCACTCCGTGGCGCGTGCGCCCCGTCGAGCGGCAGCGGGGCCGACCGGTCGAGCCCGGATCTAGGGATCCGAGGGCTCTCCAAGCTCACTTCTCAGCGCTCCTCGGTCCTCACTCCAAAGGACTCGCTCCTCCTCCTCCTCCTCCTCCTCTGCCTCCTCCTCCTGCTCACTTCTCGTGCTCACTGTTCCTCCTCCTCCTCCTCAACCTCCATGTCCTCCTCCTCCTCATCCTCCTCCTCATCCTCATCCTCATCATCAGCAGCAGCATCATGCCATCTCTTTTCCTTCAAAGGGCTCCTCCCTGTCACACCACCAGACGTGTCGGGAGGGCATGCCGGGCGTTCCGCCTTATACTTCCTAGCCACTGCTGACCTTGAAGCTTCAGTCTTGCAACTATTCCCAAGACTGAGCACAGGTCGTTTTCAAAATGAGGCTATCGGTTTAGCGCCGCGCAGATTCGTATCAAAAGTTCGCAACCACTTCAAGCATGGGGGAAATCGTTTGAACAATGGCCTTGGCACCGCGCACATTCGCCGTAAGCATTCGCAGCAGTTTGAAGGATTGAGGGGGGGTCGCTTCCAAAATGCGTCTATCGCCTTGGCACCGCGCACATTCATCTTAAACATGGGCAGCCGATTCAAATGTGGACGGACATTCATATTCAAATCGTGGCTCTCGCCCAAGCGCAGCCCACATTATGCATAGAATGTTGCGATGGCATCACGGGTGGAAAGGGGGTTGTGTTCAAAATGTGGCTCTCGCGCTGGCGCCGCGCACATTCCTTCCCACACATTACAGTAACTTCAAGAATAGAGGGCGGTTCCTTTTCAAAGTGGGGCCCTGGCTTTGGCGCCGCACCATTCGTCCCCAGTTTGCAACGGTCACGGGCACATGTCGTTTTCAAACTGGGGATGTCGTCTCAGCGCCGCGTACATTCGTGCTGAGTTAATGTTTCATTATGAAGATGGGGGGTATCTGTTTCAACATGAATATATCGCTCGGGACGTCGCCCATCTGAAAGACCCGAAGCTTCAACACATGCTTCACTGCACGCAGCCAGGGCGGATCCGTTTCAAAATGCGGCTCTCGCGCAAAACGTCCTCGGTGATTTCTGGCTACGGATGTAGAGGTGGGTACACGTTTGGGGGCGGCCCTTCTGAGAACAGTTGATATCGCTGGACAACCCGCTGAACTGTGGGATCCGAGATTCTCGCATACACTATTACGCGGCAGAAGGAAAACCGAAAGGCTGCTTACTGTCAAAACGGTGTCCTCGACGAAATGTTAAGCCCAATTGCGCTGGTCTTAAAACGGAGGGGGGGCTTCTTGTAGTGTAGAGGACAGCTCATAGGGACGTTTGGGAGGGGGGGCTTGGGACAGTAGGGTGTACGTGTTGCAGCATCGCGGGTGCATCTTGGGTTTAAGCTGGTCTGCATCCTCCTGCTCCACCTCCTCCACCTGCTCCTGCTCCTCCTCCTCCTCCTCCTCCGCCTCCTCCTCCTCCTCATCATCATCATTATCGTCCTCCTCCTCATCGATTCTCCTCCTCCGCCTCCTTCTCATCATCCGCCTCCTCCTCGTCCTCCGCCTCCTCCTCCTCCACCTCCCTCTCCTCCTTCTCCTCTATTTCTTTTCTCTATGAACAACTCCTCACTTTTGGCCCCCGAGGCTGGACGAAAGAACGGGCCGGGCGTTTCGCCTAAGACTTCCTCGCACTGTATGGCCCTGAAGCTTCAAATTTGGCAACAGCTTCACCGATGGAGGGTGGGCGGTTTTCAAAATCTTGTTCTCGACTGAGCACCCCGCGCATTCGTTTTATGCATTACCAAGCGTTCCACTGATTGAGGGCGGATGTTTTTAATGTGGCTCTCGCCTTCGCGCCGCGCACACTCGTTATAGGGGTTTGCAAGAGCTTCACAGAGTGAGGGCGGGTGATTTTCAACATGTTGCTCTCGCCTTAGCGCTGCGCGCACTCGTTTGAAAACTTTGCCAGAGCTTCACGGATTGAGGGTGGGCCGTTTTCAAAATGTAGCCCGCGCCTTCGCGCCGCGCATACTCGTCTCAAACCTTCGCAGGAATTCCACTGGTTCCCATAGTCAACGTACCATCTGTGGCGTTTGGGAACGATTCGAGGTCGCCAAGGCGCAACGTTCACGTTGTAAACTTCAGGATCTTCAAACGACTGTCTCCCAACGGGGCCCTTTCCTCAGTGGCATTGAACCCTTGCAGGGGCCTATGAAGAGGGGAATTGGAGGGAGGGTTTCTCAAACATCGCTGATGAGCCTGGAGTGTGCACTGGTCCCTCTCCTTCTTCTCCTCCTCCTCCTCCTCCTCCTCTTCCTCCTCCTCCTCCTCCTCCTCCTCCTCCTCATCGTCATCCTCATCCTCATCCTCATCCTCCTCTCCCTCCTTACCATCATCCGCATCATCAGCATCATCATCATCATCATCATCATCATCACCATCATCATCATCATCATCATCATCATCATCATCATCATCATCATCATCAGCACCATCATCATCAGCAGCATCATCATCATCATCCTCATCATCCTCATCATCATCATCAGCACAATCGTCATCATCAGCATCATCAGCATCATCCTCATCCTCCTCATCCTCATCCTCATCCTCATCCTCATCCTCATCATCATCATCATCATCATCATCATCATCATCCGTATCCGAATCATCATGGTCTTGTGCATCCTGTGCCTCATCCGTCTCCTCCATCTCCCTCCTCCCCTCCATCCCTCCTCTTCTTTATGCATGGCCCTCCTGAACTGAACTGAAAACAACCACAGAACGCGCGAATCGTGCAGGGAAAATATGCATACATGGCCCTCCTCCTCCTCCTGCTCCTCCTCCTCCTCACCATCACCATCATTGTCATCATCATTACCATCATCATCATCATCATCATCATCATCATCATCATCATCATCATCATCATCATCATCATCATCATCATCATCATTATCATCGGCAGCAGCAGCATCAGCATCATCATCATCAGCATCATCATAATCAGCATCATCATGTTCATCGTCAGCAGCAGCAGATTCATAATCATCCTCATCCTCATCATCAACATAATCGTCGTCATCATCAGCATCACAATCGTCATCATCCACATCATCATCATCATCATCATCAGAATCATCACCATATTCATCAACAACTAATCAACAACAGTATCATCGAAACCACCATCATCGTCATCATCAGTGTCTTCAGCAGCAGCATCAACAGCAGCATCCGCATCAGCATCATAATCAGCATCATCAGCATCCTCATCATCTTTCTCATTATCAGCACCATCATCATTATCATCATCATCATCATCATCATCATCATCATCATCATCACTATCACCATCATCAGCATCAGCATCATCATTATCGTCAGCATAAGCAGCATCATCATCCTCCACCTCCTCCTACTCCTCCCTTTCACTCCTCCTCCACCCCCAGGTCCTCGCCCTGGGCGTCGGCGAGCGCACGGCAGAGGGCCGCCACGGGATAGCGCTCGAGGAGCAGCCGGGCGGCCTGCACGACCTGCGGACCGTTGACGAACTCGCGGGCGGCCCCGGCCACCGCGGCCATGGCGCCCGCGCCGCCGGCAGCGCGGAGCCCGCGGAGGCCTTCAGCGGGCGGCGAGCACGTGGGGGGAAGTGAGCACGAGTGGGGCGGTGGGAAGTGGGAAGCGGGCACGAAGCAGTGGGCAGCGGGGCGGTGGGGCAGTGGGGCAGTGGGGCAGTGGGCAGTGGGGCAGTGGGAAGTGAGCACGAGTGGGGCAGTGGGGCAGTGGGGCAGCGGGAAGCGAGCAGTGGGCGGCGAGCACGAGTGGGGCAGAGGGAAGGGGTGGGCCTTCTCACAGAGCTTTCCTCGCACAAGACCCCACGGGCTCCACAACAACATATCGCGAATCAAAATCTCGCGAGGCAAGCCGGGAACGCCGCAGAAGCCGACCCGCAATAGGCAAGCTCATGGGGCGGGCCTTCTCAGAAGGCTCGGAAAGCCTCGGGCCTCCTGAGAAGTTGTCTAAGCCTTCCCCGATGGCACAGAAGACTTCGCGGAAGGCGCGAGGGCTTCTTTTTTGGGAAGGCGCGAGGGCTTCTGAGAAGCCCCGCCGCCCTCTGAGAACGCCTGCTCCTGCTCACTCCGCCCCCGGGCGCGCCGCCGACTCCAATCTGGGCGTCGCAAGACAGTCGCAACGGTATACCTTTCGACGCGCTCGGCCTCCGGGGGGGGCTTCCCGGCCCTGAGGCCGTCAGAGAAGTACGCAGGATGAAAAACCAGCACTGGGGCAGGGGTCGAGTTGGAATGTGAACGAAAGGTTTGCGACGACAGAGGACCGGAGGCTGCTGGCTCCCTACGCGCTCGGGCAGCCCACGATACACGAGCAAACAGAGACGACCGAGTGGCGAGGACTTCGGGAGGGTCATCCTGCTGGTGTCCCCATTGTTTTATAGCATGCCGCTCGAGGCCCCCGTGATCTCCAGCTCGGAGGGGCATCATCGACCTCCTCGCTGGAGGTGGCCCGCTGATGGTTTTAGAAGTGTTGCCCATCGTTCCTCGGACAGGCGCTCAGAAGCAACCCCCACAGCTAAGGGGTGAGTCACGACTTGACCCTGTCCCTCCATCTCATGCCTCGTCTCTCCTCCCTCCCTACTCCCTCTCCTCCCTCCTGCTTCTCCTCCTCTCGGTCCTCATCATTGTCCACCACCGTGCCCCCTGGCGCGTTGAGGCGTGCTAGGATGCCAAGTGCTGCTGTGTATGCTTTCTGTGACCCCGCCGCCCCCTTGGGTGAGGAGGGGCCATGATCTCTCGGAAAACTCTATACACGCGCTCCCGAGACTACGATTCCTCTTTTATGAACCATGGATCCGCGCCCCGAGCTTCCACAACGGCCCATGCAGGCAACGAAGGAGGCCACCAAGATGGCCCACGATGGCCCAAGATGACTCGAAGAAGGCCCAAGATGGCCCAAAGGCGGCCGAGTATGGCCTCAAGACGGCCCAAGATGCCTTAAAGAGGGTCCAAAGAGGCTACAAAAGGATCTCCAACAGAGCCCGAAGAAGCAAAAACCACTGATGCCCTCTTTCCTGTCAAATTTTCGCACTCTCGCTTTTTCGGGCTTCCATCAGCGAAAGCCGGCCCGAGAAGAAGCTTTCACGATGGCCCCAAGACGGCCCAAGAGGCCCCCAAAGAGGACCAAAGAGGACCTCACGGAGGCCCGACAGGCATCCAAGACGGCCCAGAGACTGCCTAAGAGGGCCTCCCGCGGGACCCAAGACGGCCTTGGAAGACCTGTCGAAGGCCCAAGGCGGCGCCAGGACGTTACCACGGCAGCCCCGAGACACCCACCATTCGGCCAAGAGAGCCCCCATACGGCCCGAGAGAGTCCCAAGACGGCGTAAGAGGGCAACAAGACGGCCCAAGAGGACCCCAAGGAACCCCCAAGACTGCCTCACAGGAGGACAAGAAAGCCACAAGACGGCCCAAACGAGGTCTGCGAGATCTCCTGAAATATTGAAAAACAGAAGGTGACACATGTGACGTCCTTCATCTTCTTCCTTGTCCTGCTGTTCTTACTCCTCCTCCTCCTCCTCCTTCTCCTTCTTCTGCCGCTCCTCCTCCTCCTCTTCCTCCTCCTCCTCATCCAACCCCTCCTCCGCCTCATTCTTCACCTCGTCATCACCAGCAGCATCACCAACAACAGCATCAACAACAAAATGATGATGATGATGATCATTATCATCATCAGCATCATCATCATCATCATCATCATCATCGTCAGCATCATCATCAGCAGCAGAAGCATCATCACCATCACCAGCATCATTATCAGCAGCAGCAGCATGAACAGCATCATCATCATCATCATCATCAGCATCAGCATCATCAGCATCACCATCATCATCAGCATCATCGTCGTCGCCGTCGCCATCATCATCAGCATCAGTACCATCAGTATCATCATCAACAGCATCGCCATCATCATAATCATAATCAGCAGCAGCACAACCACCAGCATCATAATCATCAGAATCCGCATTATCATCGTCATCATTATCACCTTCATCATCGTCATCATCGTCGTCAGCTTCTTCATCATCATCATCGTCATCATCATCGTCATGATCATCAGCATCGTCAGCATCATCGCAATCATCATCATGTTCATCACCAACATCATCATCACCCGCATCATCATAAGCAGCAGCGACATGATCAGCATTACCACAATCATCAACATAATCAGCATCAACAGCAGCAACATCCTCATCAGTGCCATCATCAACATCATCGCCATCATGAGCAGCATCATCATGGGCATGATCATCGTTACCACCATCACTATCACCATTACCATCACCAACAGCATCACCACCACCACCATCAGCATAATCAGCATCGTCATCATCAGCATCGCCGTCGTTGTCATCATCACCTTCAGCAGCAATGGCGTTCCCAGCACCACAACCACCACCACAACCATCATAATCATCAGCAGCAGCAAAAGCGTCATCATCATCATCAGCAGCAGTGGCAAAAACCATCAGCAACGTAGTAATAATCATATACGTCGTCGTCCACATCATAGTCATCATCAGCATCAGCATCAGCATCAGGATCAGCATCAGCATCAGCATCAGCATCAGCATCATCCTCATCATCATCATCATCATCATCACCCGCATCATCAACCGCATCACCATCATCATCGAAAACAGCATCATCAGCATCAGCATCATCATCATCACCACCATCATCACCATCACCCCCCAATACCCCCAACATATTCATAAGCCCGGTCATCTGCAGAACGACTCCTCAAGCCAGGAGGCACGAGGTGTCACACGTGGCGGCCTCCAGTGCCCTCTCGAACAGTCGCCACCCAAAATGCTGGATATATCGTCCCTGTCTCTGTCCCTGTAGGCGTGACCATACATGTACAGTATCGGCCTCTCTATCTCTCTCTCTCTCTCTCGACCCCGTCTACCCTCTGCCCACCCCCATCCGCCTCTCACCCCCTCCTCATGCCGCCGCCTGCCTCAGTCTGCATCCTCGTCCACCTCCTCCTCCTCCTGCTCCCCCTTCTGCGCCTCCTCCCCCCCCTCCTCAGCATCACCAGCATCATCCTCGTAAACATATCAGAACCATCATCATCAGCAGCAGCAACATCTCCCCCATCATCTTGAACAGCACCAACACCACCATCACAACCGTCAGCAGCAGCAGCGTCACCGCCACCATCATTGGCAGCATCATGACCACCACCTCAGCAGTCGTCATTGCCAGCATCAGCGTCATCAAGATGGTAATCAAGATCATCCTCATCCATCATCATCATCATCATAATGCACCTCATCAATATCGTCGTCAGCGTCATCGTGATCAGCTTCCCACTCGTGATGCTACCTCCATCGCACTTCATTATCGCCAACGGAATCTACATAACGATCATGCTCATCGGCATTACCCGTCTCAGCGACAAACTCATCAGCATCAGCATCATCATCCTCAAAGTCATCAAACTCATCAGCATCATCATGATCAGCAGTATTATCATGATCATCAACATCAGCATCAGCATCATCATCAGCATCAGGAGCATCATCATCATCAGCATCATCATCATCCGCATCAGCATCAGCATCATCATCATCATAATCATCATTAGCAACGCCGCACCGCAATTGCCATGCGTTGCCGACATTTGCACCATCACCGTACTCTTCGTCAGAGGATCCACCACCACAACCATCACAACTGTCACCATCATGATGACTATCAGCATCATGGGCACCGGCATCGTCAGCAACCTCATCATCGAAATCATCATCACCACCAGCAGTAACATCATCGACACTGTCATAATCGTCAGCATCATCGATGCCAACAGTACGATCAGAACCACCATCATCATCACCACCAGCCCCATCATCCTGTGAAGCTTCACCATCGACGCCACCATCATCAGAAGTAGAGTCATCACCAATTCAAGCATCGTCAGCATCGTCAGCATCGTCATCATCAGCATCATCATCAGCATCTTCATCATCATGACCATCATGATCACCATCACGATCATCAGCATGATGATGATGATGATGATGATCATCATCTCATCATCAGCATCACCATCGCCATCGTCATCGACAAAATCTGCGTCACCATCATCATCATCAGCAGCATCATCAGACTCGTCATCGTCATCATGATCAGCATCAACCAAAATCGTCGACAGCATCATCGATAGCATCAGCGGCATAACCACCAGCACCATAATAATCATCATCATCATCATCATCATCATCATCATCAACGTTATCAGTATCATCAGCCCCATCATCACCCCCATAGTCCTGAGCAGCATCACCACCACCAGCAGCATCATCAGCAGCAGTAGCATCACAACCACCACGAGTATCACCATCAGTATAGCCACCCGCATCACCCAAATAATCCTGAGCAGCACAACCACCACCACCACCATCAACTGTAGCATTGCCGCCACCATCACCAGACACATAATCACTCCCACCTCCACCGTCATCATCAAAATCATAGTCATCATCAACGGAACCATCATCGTCACCACAGTCATCATCATCATCATCATCATCATCATCATCATCATCATCATCATCATCATCATCATCATATTCATCATCATCAGCATCGTCAGCAACAGCTTCATCATCACAACCGTCGTCGTCCTCATCAGCAGCATCATCAGCAGCCACATGTGTTTATCAGCATCGCCGTCATCATCATCGTCGAAACCGTCGGCATCACCAGCATCGTCATCATCAACGTCGTTGTCATCGTCCTCGTCATCGCCATCTTCGTCGCCGAGGGCGTCATCATCAACACAATCATCATCAGTGGCATCACAAGCATTATCACCTGCATCAGCATCATCATCAGCACCAGCATCATCTTCAGCATCAGCAACATCAGCAACACCAGCACCAGCACCAGCAACATCGTCAGCATTGTCAGCATCGTCAGCATCGTCAGCATCGTCCACATCATCATCATCATCATCATCAGCAACATCAGCAGCACTACCAAAACCATCAGCAGCAGCAGCACCATCATCATCATCAGCAGCAGCAGCATCGTCTCATTACCACCACCACCACCAAAATCCGCATCATCAGCAGCATCATCGTCAGCACCAGCATCGTCAGCATCATCATCATCATCATCAGCAGCAGCATCATCACCATCATCATGAACATCATCAGCAGCAGGATCGTCGTCATCGTCATCACCATCATAGTAATATTCTTCATAATAAGAATCATCATCATCATCATCATCATCATCATCATCATCATCACCATCATCATCATCATCATCATCATCACCAGCATCATCATCACCAGCATCATCATCGCCATCATCAGCATCGTCGTCGTCATCCTGCCTCCTGCCTCCTGCCTCCCCGGCTCCGATCGGCGTCGCTGCTCCTGGGCCCTCGGCCAGCCAGCGTTGCTGCGCCGGGGGTCGCCCGCGGAGCCACTCCCCTCCCCCCCGGGACCGCGGAGCCACCTGCGCCGCCTCGGGCAAAGGCTGCTGCGGAGGGGGAGGGAGGCGGGAGGGAGGAGGGGGAGGGGTAGTTTGGAGGGCGCATCCGATTCAACCGCTGCCTGGCCAGGATAACAATAAGACTCACTTCGCCAAATGAAGCTGGAGCTGGATCCAAAACCGTGCACTGCAGGCGCTGACTGAGGAACACATCGCTGGTATAGACATTCGGCACGGGCGCCACTGCGGATCTCTAAGAGCAGTACATTGGAGCCTCAGGGAGGAAGAAGAGAAAGGAGGAAGAAAGTAAGCTACTGCGATCGCGCCATGCCTGGCGTCGCACTCCTCCATCCATTCCGTAGCGCTGCGTTTCAATTTGCCGACTGAAGTGTCCTAGATGACCATGGTTCCCAAACAGGCCCTATCGTGTGATGTGCAATCAAGAGAGGTCCCCTCAACAATGGGAAGGAAGAGGAAGAAGAAGAAGAAACACTCCGTTGGGGCCAGGTTCGTCCACCTACGGGGGAGATTCAAAGGCCCAGAGACTATCCTTAAAAACGGATCCAAAACGCCTGGGACACTAGCCCCAAGGCTAGACCGTAAACTGGCCCACTGCCCGAGGCTCCAAACGCGGGTACGAGTTACCCGTGTCCAGACCCACGGCAAAAAAACACCTCACCCTATTCGCTGAACCATAGCCTGAACATGCCTGCTCCTAAACAGGGCCTCCCAACGCGCCGAGTCCCTGGGGATTCCCTGGGCCGACAGAAATCTTTCCACAGCTAATTTCTGGGGAAGGGTAAGACCGATTTCAGCCTCCCCCCCATGCCTCTGAATGTACCTATCCGCCGCCTTTCTCACCTCCTCTCCTACTTCCATCGGGCCTAAAAAACTACTGGAGCTCCTGGGGGCAATCGTTGGGGGCGTAGAAATACTCCTCAAGGGCCTCTGCGAACCTGAAGATGTCATCTGTGGACTCCTGGGGGCAATCGGCGCCGTCGGCGAAATACTCCTCAAGGGCCTCTGGGATGCAGAAGATAACCTCTGAGGACTCCTGGGCGCAATCCTCGGGGTCGGCGAAATACTCCTCAAGGGCCTCAGGGTCCACGGGGATCTGGAGGAACAGGATGGCGATGGAGGTGGGATAGAACGAGATGATGACGATGCCGTCATTCTCTCTTTCCACATACTCAGAGGTTTGTATGCTGCGGCCTGGGCCTCCCTGCTTGGCTCACGTGTCTCTGGCGACACTGCAAGCAGTGAATCAATATCTGAAGAAACTGAAAGTTGTGAATCGATATTCGTTGCTCTCGGAGTAGCCGACGAGACTGCATTGCTTGAATCCACCACTGATTCAAGACGAGAACGCGTCGTTCTCTCGGTCTCCGTGAGCAACTCTGAACTCTGAGTAGCACTCGTATCTATGCCAGGAACGTCTCTAGCCACTCCTGCATCTCGCGCTCCATGTGCGTCGCTGGCGCCCTCCCCGACTTGAGCTCCCCCCCCCAGCTGGGTCAGCGCTCCGATCACCTCCTTGCGGCCGTCTCCCAGGCACAAAGTGATGCGCCTCTTCGTCTGGTCGTAGCACCTGTCGAGCTTGGTGAACTTGATGATGTCCATGCGGTCGGCGTAGTCCATCGTGCTCAAGCGTCCCTTCATCTCCTGCAACTTCGCCAGGTTCGCCTTGCCGATGCTCTCCTGCCGATTTATCAGCGCCTCCAGCAGGCCCCCGAACACGTGCAGATGAGGCGCGCCGAGGCTGTGGCCCTTGCCCTTGGCCTGGACCTGCTCGTTGTACTTGGCTCCTTGCTCTGCCATGCGTGTTACCTCTGGCATGTCGTGAGGCACCAGCACAACGTCGAATAGGATCCCCTCCACCGTGCGGCGCGACTGCGCCAGCTGCATGATCATCTTCATGATGAGCACCATGAGCGTTTTGTTGGCGGCGTTGTAGCCGGCGGCGGTCTTGGCCACCTTCTGCTGGCCCTCGGTGCGGCGGCGCTGCTGTCGCTCGTTCTTCTCCCCCCCGACCTCTCCGCTGAGCGTCAGCATGGCGCTCACGTCGGACCGCTCTGGGGCGTGCTGTGGCCGTCAGCCTGACCCTCGGAGCTCTGGGCAGAATGGCGACGGGCGGGGGAGGTAAATGCTGCTCAACTGCATGATCCATAAAATCATCTAGGTTGTCATGTTCCTCTCCACACATCGGGCATTTGCATGATTTCGGGGTTATCGGGGCCCACGCGAAGGCCGTCCTCTGGAGTCGACATCGATTATTAAGCCAGGCCGTCCGAACGTGTTGTCGAGCGCTATCCCTGGTCGAGAAACAACTGCGGCACCGCGGGCAAACATTGGAAATCACCGACGAAAACAGCGGGTTTAATCGGCCGTGCTCTCCTCCCCTCGATCTAGACTGGTGTGCAAACAGGGCGCTACGTGTATCAAATACTTGTGAACATATATTGTCGTGCTCGTCTTTAAGCGTGCAGACGTGTCTACCAAGTTCCTCCAGGGGCCCATATTCTTCTCTAAGTGCCTGTGCGGGTCCTCTAAGTCGAGCTATAAAAAGCTCCTCCCCATCGTGCAGAACAGCTGCTCGTAATAACTTAGCATCTACCTTCAGAAAGTACTCCCTCACCTCCTCCTCCAGAAATAAAGCCTTCCAAGAATATCCCCACCTCTCCCAAGACTCGAAGAAGTCCTCTGAGCCGCTGATGTGAGCATAGGTCCAGACATCTTTTTCAATCTGCGTGGCGATCGGAGGCGCGGACTTCGTGAGCTTGCCGTCTGCATCCAAGCTCTCGGGTCCACTCTGTAGTGCACCCCAGATCGCTGCGATCACCTGGCGGTGCGAGACAGCGTCCTTGGCCATCTGCTGCACCCAGCCGAATCGCCTGGCCGCCTGCTCGAAACGTATCGGCATCAGTCGCCACTTTCGGCGAAGCACCGAACTGGGGAGGGTGTGTGGGTGTTCGCCTTCCCATTCCGTTGCCCGCCCCCTCTCCAGAACCCGTAGGTATTTATATATCAGGGTGTCCAGCTGTTGAGTCTGAGAAGTCGAAAAAACATACGGCTCATTTGCGGGTAATGCCGCTTCCACCACATGGCCCCTAAAGGCCATCCTCTTGAGGCTCCTGGAAATTCTGCTCGTCCACAGTTTCCCCATCTTCCCCCACCCAGCGTGGACCGCAGCGCTGCGGTACCTGAACTCCTCCATGCTTGACAGATTCCACGCGTAGCGGCTACCGAGATACCTGGCGCGAGGAAGAGCTTTGCCCCCCTCGAACTCCTGCGAAAAAAACTTGTTCGCACGATGGCTTCTGAGGCTCGGGACCGTTTCTCTCTTGCTATAGTTCTGAATCAGACCCACCTCCTCCAACTCCTCATCCAATAACCTGTCGCTGGTTTCAAGGGTCGTCTCAATCGTTTCGGGGGTCGTGTCGCCCACGGGTATCTTATCAAAAATGTCGTCGGCGTAAACCGTTGTCGCCCCACAACAGGTCCCCCCAAAGATCCCGCATCTGAGTGTCTTGACCTCCGAAGCCGTCGCACGCTGGTCGATCCACTGGCGCATCGGCTGCTCCATCGCCTTCGCAAAGACTACCGGCTCTTCACTAGATCCCATGAGTCCTCCTCGGCGGTGTCGTGCAGCTAAGTTCCTCGGGTTCCTCCAGGGGTCCTCCAGGCTCTCTTCGAAAATCATGATGAGTCCAGAGGTCTCCGAGCGAGTGTGCATGAGTTGTGCATCCGCGTGTCCGAAAAGCTTATTTATTGCCTGTCTACGTGCGCGTGCTGTCGTGGAAGCGAACGCGTTCGTCATATCGTGCAGGTTGTTCAGGTGTGGTATACGCTGCGTGCGGTATCTAAATCCCATACAGAGCTGCACTGCGATCGCATCCTCCCGACGACGACGAGGAAGGAACCCATGAAACTCCGCTGGCCAACGAACTCCCTGGGTGTGCATGTTTTTTTTTTTTTTCAGCAGGCCCCCGTAGAAGCCCTTCCAGTACGGACACATCACGTTGATGAGACGTTTAGATAGTGTACCGACCTTGCCATTAAACTTAGCAATAGGGATGGCCCAGGCGAGGTTCACCAAGATCGGAGTACGTCCTTTCGTGCGGCATGCGATATGTATATCTTCCAGTATGCGTGCTGATGTCGTCATACTCGTCTCCCCTATCGGCGTGCATCCAATTCCTAAGTGCTCCTCAGGGCCCACGGAGAGGTACTTGGGGTCTGCGGCCATTAGGTGCAGCTCGACGGGGAAACTCCACGGAGGTGCCGCCCTCCGTTTCTGGCTCTTGCGCAACTGCCGAAGTGTCATCTGGAAATCTCTCTGTCCAAAGAACTCATGTCGTTCCTGCTCCTCCTCTCCTGGAAGTGGCGGTGGTTGATCGAAGTGTCGTAGCATCCGCTCCACGTCCAATGGTACGGCCTCCATACCTCCCCCCGCGGCAGAGAGGCTGAGCTGTGCCGTCCACTCCTCCTTCGTCTCGTACGTCTGCGGTAGGTTGTACCTTCGCCGTCGTGGGCCTCCTTGCTTAGCGGCCAGCAGGAATAGTAGCTTATGCACTTCTGCATGTCGCCTCGCTCTGTTGGCCTCCTCAATCTCATTCTCCAGCCTTCGGCGCGTGCGAGTCCAATGTGCACGGGTCTCTTGTCGAAGACGAATCTTGATCTCATGTAACTCCTGAAGTTCTGGGTCCACCTCGATCGCACTCTGGCTAGCTGAAATACTCCTCAAGGGCCTCTGGTGTGATGCGCCCTCTTCTCTGGTCGTAGCACCTGTCGGTTGTGAACTTGATGTACTGGCTCCTGCTCTGCTGCAATTTACCTCTGGCATGTCAAACAACTCTGGATTCTGAGTACTCGTATCTAGGCCATCTTGATTTCTGATCCGACAAAACACCCCACTCGCTGTTGCCCTCGCCTCCTGTGGAAAGGGTGCCCTGGGGGTCGGCGACTGTGAACCTGGGAGCCCCGCGGGCTCCCAGGATTTGCGCTCTAACGCCGGTTGTGCCTGCATCTCTGAAGAAACTGAAAGATGTGAATCGGCTAGCTGCAAACCCTCTCGAAGTAGCCGACGTCTGCGCACCAGCTCCAGTCTCCGTTGACGTAAAGCTGTCAGTTCTGGGTCGGGAATTGTCTTCTCGCGCTGGAAGTGACTCAAGCCAATCTCCGCCACTGCATCCGTCCATAGTCTCCACGCCGCATCAACATGGCCCGACTGGGCCAGGGGTGTGACTTGTGGAAGGATGAGCTGCATCTTCGTCTCGAGCGCCTCCATGAAGTGCTCTCGGCCTTGGCCCCGCTGCACAGCCGCCGCCAACTTGTCCCGATCCCATCTGGAAAAAGCATGTGCTTGGTCCTCATATCTCCGATATACCGTCAGGCGTAATAGAATTGGCACATGATCTCGTGGTGTACGGCTCGGTATCATCTGTAACTTCCGCGCCTGTGTCCACATTATTCGGCAAGAAAGAATCTGCTCTCTGGCCGCCATCGGCACGAAGATGTGATCGATTGTGCTGCTATTCTGTTTGTTCCCGTAATATGTAGGCCCCGCCCATCTGTCTGCTGTGACGGCATCATACATCTCCATGGGTGCCAGGATCTCGTCCTGAATCATATTACCTACTATGTTTTGCTCGCCCGTATTGTATGGCCCCGCCAGGAGCCGCTCGTCGTCCCACCAGTCATAAGGAGAGGTTGGGGCAACCGTCGGGAGTCCACCTCTGAGGCCCATGTGAGTGTTGAAGTCCCCCAAGAGAATCGGTGTAGAACAAGACGGAACAGCCTTGAGCTCTCTGATGGCCCACTGGAGCAACTGCGTCGAGCCCTTCTCGAGGGCCCGTCGTTTCTTTGCAGATTCATCACTAAGAGGCGGCATGTATGTTGCTATGATGCTGATGTCCATGCTTTGGTTTCGTAGTCTTACCGCGAGTCCCCTACCTTGAAGAGCTGACGGTGGTGATGTGATCGCCCGAAGGTGTTTAGCCTTGAACATTCCCCCGAACATGATCGTGCAGCCCGCGTGCTTGTTAGTATAAGGGCCTTGTGTCCAGCCTGCATGGAGCGCCATGGCCCCTTTCCCCAAAGACATTCTGGGAATTGGAGTCCCCGTACTGGCCCTCAGTCTGGTCCCTGGAAGAACCACGATGTCCGCCCTCAAGGTCTCCCAGACGTCCCTGATCCTCTGGGGCTCGACCAGCGACAGCGGGTTGTAGAGTATGATGCGTAGTGCTGCTAGCTTCGCCGCGGGTCTGCTGGGCGCCCCCGCAGCCCGCGCCAGCATCCCAGGCGCTATCTCCTGGCGGCTATGCGCGCGAGGAGGAGGAGGGGTTCGGTCGACGGGTGGATGCTGCGGTAAGGGCGGGGATCCCCTCGAGCAGCTGGGAAGGAAGAGGGAAAGGAGGGATGGGATGGGGAGGAGGGGAGAGAGGGAGGAGGGGGAGGAGGGGAGGAGGAGGAGGAGGAGGACGAGGAGGAGGAGGAAGACGAGGAGGAGAAGGAGGAGGAGGAGAAGGGAGAGGAGAAGGGGAAGGAGGGAGGACGGAGGAGGGGAAAAGGGAGGGGGGATAAGGAAGGGGAGGGGGAGGAGGGAACGGAAGAGAGGACAAGCTAGATGCGCTCGGGCCATATCCGACACCCTACAACTCCCCCCCATCCCTGCCCGTTGCGCTCATGTTGTATTTATCCGCCGACGCGCGCCAAAGAAAACCTGGAGTTCCAAAAAGGAACCCATCGTTTCACGCACAATCGGAAAAAAGGGAGATTCGTGCATTGGAGGAGAGCGTGGCCGATGAGCAGGAGGACGAGCAGGAGTAACTTGAGTGAGGAAGAAGGGGGAGGAATAGGAACACCACAGCAGCAGGAGCTGGTTTGGGAGAAGCGGGAGGAGCTGGATGGCCAGGGGAAGGCGGGGCAGGGGCAAGGAGCGGGGCGACAACGACGAGGCAGCACCCAGATCCAGAAAGGTGGCCAGCGCTATGGCGAGAGCGCGATGCTGAACGATGGGAGCAAAGCGCCGATCCTAAAATAAGGCCTGCGGTACAGCTGCAGCACAATTTTTCGGCGGCGAGCGAGGGGGGAAGTGTTAAGGAACAGGCCTTCTCAGAAGGCTCGGAAGTCCCCTGGCCTTCTGAGAAGTTTTCTGAGCCTTCCCCGAAGACACAGAAAACTTCTCAGAAGGCGCGAGGGCTTCTGAGAAGTCCTGGCGCCTTCTGAGAGGGCCTTCTCCTTCTCACTTCCCCCCCTCGCTCGCCGCCGAATTTTGAGACCCCCGAAACACTTCGAATGAACAGTAGGAGGTATCAGATGATGATGCCCGGTGTGGGAATCATCCTGGCGAAGGGTCCTGCCATATGCGGTTGTGAGTAGCGCAGTTGTGAGCATCGTCTTCGGTGGAGCTCCATATGGGGCCACGAAACGTGTGAGGGGTGTGCCGACATGGGTGCGGGGACCGCATGCGAGCACTACCACTGGGGCCTTCGGTGGAGCTCCCGATAGGCCCGCGAAACGTGTGAGGGGGTGCCGAAAAGAGCGCGGGGACCACATGCGAGCACTACAACTGGGGCCTGGGGCCTTGGGAGAAGCTCCCGACAGCGCCGCGAAACGTGTGAGGGGCGTGCTGCAATAGGCGCGGGGACCGCATGCGGGCACTGCCACTGGGGCCTTCGGGGGAGCTCCCGATGGGTCCACGAAACGTATGAAGGGTGTACCGAAATTCGCGCGGGGACCGCATGCGAGCACTGCCACTTGGGCCTGCGGTGAAGCTCCCTATGGAGCCACGCACCGTGTGAGGGGTGTCCCGAACTCATCGTGGGGACCGCATGTGAGCACTGCCACTGATGTCTTCGGTGGAGCCCCCTATGGGGCCACGAAACGTGTGAGGGGTGTGCCGACATGGGTGCGGTGACCGCATGCGGGCACTGCCACTGGGGCCTTCGGTGGAGCTCCCCATAGGGAACACGAAACGTGTGAGGGGACTGGGGGGTGTGCCGAAATCGATTGCCGAGGAGGGCAGAGGCAGAGATGGGAGGACGGGGGGAGAGAAGGGCGAGGAGAAGGACGCGGGGCGCTGTCTTTTCAAAACGAGGACCCGCGCGACACGACAGGATAGTTCGGACAAAAATGCACGCGGAGGTCAGATCGTCGATGCCCTTAAGTCTTAAGGTGTCTGTCCTCGATTGTTTCGAGTTCTCGCCTTTCGAGCTTCTCACGCCACGACGGCCCAAAAAGGCCTCAAGACGGCCCCATGATGTTTCAAGAGACATCACAAGAAAACCCGAAAGGGATCCAAAAACGGCCCACAGAAGGCCCCAGACGCTCCAAGACGGCCCAAGGAGGTTACCCCATGTCGCCTCACGGCGGCCCAAAAAGCGCTCCAGGTGGCCTGAAGACGGCCTAAGAGGGCCCCAAGACGGCCCAATAATGCCACTAGAAGATCAAAGAGGCCCCCCAAGAGAGGCCAACAGGGCCCACAAGGTCACCCACGAGGGCTCGCACACGTCAACGTCGTCGTCGTCATCGTCGTCATCATCATCATCACCATCAGCATCATCAGCATCATCACCACCACCACCATCATCATCAGCAACAGCAACATCATCAGCATCATCAGCATCAACATCCTCATCATCATCCTCATCATCATCAGCATCAGCATCATCAACACCACCACCACCATTATCAACATCATCGGCAACAACATCGTCAGCATCATTACCGTCATCATCATCATACTCATCATCACCACCACCACCATCAGCATCATCATCAGCATCACCATGGTATCATCAGAAGCATCATCATCAGCAGCAGTATCATCATCATCAGGACCATCAGCATCACCAACACCATCATCACCATCAACAGCATCAGCATTAACAGCATCATAAGCAGTATGATCATCATCATCATCGTCAGCATCATTATCATGATCAGCATCATCACAATCAGCACCATCATCACCATCATCATCATCATCATCGTTATCATCACCATCACTACCAGCATCACCATCACCACCATCATCATCAACAGCATCACCACCTCCATCACCATCACCATCACCATCACCACCCCCACCTCCATCATCATCAGCAGCAGCATCAGCATCATCAAGATCATTAGCATCATCAGCATCATCATCACCATCACCATCACCATCATCGGCGTCGTCATCGTCATCGTCATCGTCGTCCTCGTCGTCGTCCCCGTCCCCGTCGTCGTCATCGTCGTCCCCGCCGTCCCGCTGTTGTCCCGTGTGTTAGAACATGTACACGGAGGGAGGCGGGCGACTCCCCGACCATCCCAAGAGCAGACAAGAGGACAGGAGAGTACTATTCGTATTGGGTGATTGTGGAGGAGGCGAGGAAGGAGGGTAAGGAGGGTAAGGAAGGAGGGAGAAGAGGAGGAGAAGGAGGGGGAGCTGGCTGATGCTTTCACTATTGGGGTCTACTTCCGAACTGCATGCTCCAGTAGAGCAGGCCCTGCCTCAGGCCAGGTCACAGCCCTTCTCTTCTCGCCGACGCCATTCGCACCGCGGTACCACAGTATTACCGCCACCCCTCCCCGCGCGTCGGGTTCATTGAGCTTCCGCCTGAACCATCAAAGCCGAGCGCTTCGGGCTCGCCAAAGAAAAGAAGGGGAAGCGAGAGAGGAGGAGGGGGATGGGGTGGGGACGGGGTAGAGGGAGGAGAGGAAGGGGAGAGGACGAGGACAAGGAGGCGACGAGAAGAATGAGGAGGACCAGAGCAGACCCAGCACATTTCGCTGTTGCTGCCATACACCCGCCCGCCCCAAGCCACATGTCCAACTATGTGAGCGGTCGCTGGAAAGGTGATGGTCAAATTGAACCTGCATGGTGAGAATCATGCGCGCTGCAAGACGCACATCTGAGATCATGTCGAGACTTGACGGTACAACGTTACAGCATACCGCCACTGCGATCGTTAGTCCCTCTCCAGTCGTACCCTCGCCGGATGTTTCAAAACAAATCAGCCAGCGCAGCCTCAACATATACCAGAAGGCTTGCATGCTCTACTCTATCCGGCCCTACTCGAATCTTCTCTACTCTGCTATACGCCAACTCTACTATACTCCAAATTTGCTCGACTCTGATATAGTATCCTCCCACTCTAATCTACTCCACTTTACCCTGCTCTACTCTGCCCGCTCGACCTTGCAAGACTCTATATTCTACCCACCTCTACTCTGCTCAATTCTACTTTACACGGCTCGAGACCACACAACTCTACTCTACCAGCAACCCTACTCTACTCTTCGCTACTGTGCTCTAGTATACCCTACTCTGCTCTACCATAGCCTACCCTCGCCGACTCTACTCTCGTCTGCTCCACTCTACTCAAATATGGTATCATTTTTTGCCTTGTAGCCATGTCGTCTCCGCTCCAATGCGTCACTAGCGACGGGGCCTCAACCGCCACCCCCCCAGCTCCGGAACCGGGTACTGCGAGGGCTTTGGTTTTGGCCGCACAGTGTCCGTGGGCCACGACCAGATGATGAATGCCGCGCCACCACCCCAGTGGCGCAGCGGCCAGAGCCAAAGGCCAGCGTTCAGAGACGACGCTGCCCCTGAAGTTCATTCCATACCCTGAGACAGAGCTGTTTCGGCTCCCAAAGACACACCAGCAGGGACAAGCCACCCAGGCCCTGCACGGAGGTCAACCCACGCCTCGGCAGCAGCCACATGCCTCCGAGTCAAAAGACGGAGGCGAGCTTCAAAGTTTTGCTGGGCCGTGCCAGGCAGGCTCAGCCTCACACAGTGGTGAGCATGCAGGAAAGCATCACAAATGCAGGCACACAGCAGCGACACATTCGGGGGAAGAGGATAGAGCTGAATCAACGTGGCAATCCATGGAATCATCACAGGGGCAATTGGAAACGCAGTACCCATCCATTGGACACATAGCTCGCGGAAGCGATGGCAGGAATTGTAATGACGTAGATCATCATAGTCCCGAGACAGATCAAACCCATATTCCCGATGAGTACACCCAAAGATACAGACACGAGGATGAGAGTGGAAGCAAGCACTCGTACACACAGCACGCGTGCAGATACGAAGAACACACATAGCAAGGTAGGGGGAAATCGCTGCTGCGTTACGTCGGTTTTGAAGGACAAGATGGGAGAGACTACTGCAATCCACTTCAGGCAGCCACTTTCTCAGTCGATACTGAAGGCCTTCAAACACCGTCGGTCCAGGAAGAGGAAGGGCGTGGGGACGGGTGTCTGGACACTCTGCACCACCTCAAACATCTTAGGTAAAAACGACCTGCGATACCATCCCCGTGGGTCGACAACTCTGGCATAACATATTGGATTGTACTCAAATATGGCATCATGTACCCTACCCTGCTATGTTCTATTCCACACCAGTATAAAATGCTCGACTCTACTCTACCATCTAAATTACTACTCTACTCGATAATGCTCTAATATACTCTACTCTACCCTATTATGCTCATCTATGTTTCTACTCTTTTCGACAACACTATACTGTAGCTGACTCTACTCGACCATCTACCCTACTCAACTCCACTCCGCTCTCTTATACCCTACTCTACTCTACCATACTCTACCCTACCCTACGTTATTATACAGTGCTCTACTTTATTGTACTATCTACTCGACTCTACTCTGCTCTACTCTACTTGGTTCTACTCTATCTACACGGCTCTACTCTGCTCTGCTCGACACTGCTCATGTTTTATTACGCACTCTACTTTAATATGCTCGACTCCCCTCTACTCTACTTCTGTGTTTGACGATCGTTGGGCCAATGGTGGGACGCTATTCGAACAGCCATGCGACTAGGAAGAAGCTATGCGGATAGGAAGCCAATAGTTAGTTTGACACTTGTTGGGGCAAACTAAGGGGAGCAGTGGACCAGCTCTCTAGGGATGGAGATTGAACTCGGATAGGCAAGCCGATTTGGAGAAAATGCAGGGCGTCATAACAAGAACAGTATTCTGAAATGAAACGATAGGTGGACACGTTTGGAATGTCAAGCTGTATGATGCGTCCGTTTCCCGCCCATGCTCCTGCAGCCAGGAAAGCGAATAAGCCTTGCCGGAGCCTGGGACATGCCGCCCGAGCCCGGTGCGCGGTTGATCTGCTGCTTCAGCTTGCGGTCCTTGTCCGCAAGCTCCTGGACCTTGTGAACCTTGTTCTCCACCTCGGTGGGCTTTTCAGGCATCGGTGCCACAAACATGCTGCAGCTGCCAGCAGAGAGGGAAGGAAGACGAGCACGGGCACGGCAAGCACGCAGATCAGAGAGAAAGGCGGGCGCCCTCACGGCTTCCCGATCGAGAAGCTGCCACGCGCATCGAGGCGGGGAACGAGGTGACAACTGGGACGGCCTCCCTGCAAGATCGGGCCCACGACGCCAAGCCTCTCGCCCAGGCGAGGTGGAGGGGGAGCAGCAGCAGCAGCAGCACAGGAAGAGGAGGGAGGGGAGCGGCGAGAGTGGCGGCGAGGAATGCCAGGGGCAGGGGGAGGAGGAGGGTGAGGTATAGAATTGCTTTTTGCCGGGAAGTCAAGAGGCATTGTTCTTCATAAATTCAAGAACCACCAGGAATATGGCACGGATTTGAATGAACCCCGATGATCAGCTGATGTTTGTTGATTTGTATATACATATATCCGTGTGTATATGTACATATACATATACATATACATATACATATACATATACATATACATATACATATACATATACATAGACATATACATATACATATACATGTACATATACATATACATACACATATACATACACATACACATATCCATATACATATACATGCATATTTACATACATGTGTAGATTTGGGTACAGACATAGAGATATAACGGTTGTTTGAATGAGTTGGATGATTATGCCAAACATGAGGGACGGATTTAAAATTCCAAGCCCATGCAAGTCTCCGGCGCCACCCAGAAGCCTTGAGCGCCCCGCGCGCCCTCGGCCTGCCGAGAAGATTGACCTCCCACGCACTCCTCTTCTCTGTGGGGCAAACCCGTAAGGCTTCGCGGGGCAACTTCCGGCGGCGAGCGAGGAGGGAAAGTGAGAAGGAAAAGGCCTTGTAAGAAGGCTCGGAAGTCCCTCGGCCTTCCCAGAAGACACAGAAAGTTTGACAGAAGGCGCGAAGGCTCCTGAGAAGCCCCTCCGCCTTCGGACAAGGCCTTCTCTTTCACACGTCCCCCCTCGTTCGCCGCCGAAACTTGAGGCCCCATGGGCTCCTGAGAAGCCCCCTGCCACCTTCTGAGAAGGCCTTTTCTTTCTCATTTCCCCCCCTCGTTCGCCGCCGAACTTGAAGCCCCATTTTTTTCCCCAACCATCCTGTGGTGTTGGGTCCTCGTTTTGAAGACGGTGGCCCGCGTCTCCTCTCCTCCTCCTCCTCCTCCTCTCCTCCTCCTCCCCCTCCTTCCTCCTCCCTCCTCCCACCATCATCATCGTCATCACCCGTTTCGGCACACCCCTCACACGTTTCGTGGCCCCATAGTGAGCTCCACCGAAGGTCCCAGTGGGTGTGCCCGCATGCGTCCCGCACACCCATTTCGGCACACCCCTCACAAGTTTCGTGGCCCCATAGGGAGCTCCACCGAAGGTCCCAGTGGTGTGCCCGCATGCGTCCCGCACACCATTTCGGTACACCCCAGTCCCGCATGCGTCCTCATTTCGGCACACCCCTCAGTGGCCCCATAGGGAGCTCCACCGAAGGTCCCAGTGGGTGTGCCCGCATGCGTCCCGTACACCCATTCGGCACACCCCTCACACGGTTCGTGGCCCCATAGGGAGCTCCACCGAAGGTCCCAATGGTTCTGCCCGCATGCGTCCCGCACACCCATATCGGCACATCCCTCACACGTTTCGTGGCCCCATAGGGAGCTCCACCGAAGGTCCCAGTGGGTGTGCCCGCATGCGTCCCGCACACCCATTTCGGCACACCCCTCACACGTTTCGTGGCCCCATAGGGAGCTCCACCGAAGGTCCCAGTGGGTGTGCCCGCATGCGTCCCGCACACCCATTTCGGCACACCCCTCACACGTTTGGCCCCATAGGCCCCATATAGGGAGCTCCACCGAAGGTCCCAGTGGGTGTGCCCGCATGCGTCCCGCACACCCATTTCGGCACACCTTTCATACGTTTTGTGGCCCCATAGGGAGCTCCACCGAAGGTCCCAAAATGTGTGCCCGCATGCGTCCCGCACACCCATTTCGGCCCACCCCTCACCCGCTTGGTGGCCCCCTAGGGAGCTCCCACCCCTTACACGCTTCGTGGCCCCATAGGGAGCTCCACCGAAGGTCCCAATGGGTGTGCCCGCATGCGTCCCGCACACCCATGTCGGCACACCCCTTACACGTTTCGTGGCCCCATAGGAGCTCTGCCGGAGCCCCAGTGGCACAGTCCGCATGCGCCCCCGCCGTTCATTTCGGCCCACCCCTCACACGTTTCGTGGCCCCATAGGGGCTCCGCCGAAGGTTCCAGTGGAACAGTCCGCATGCGTCCCCGCCACTCATGTCGGCACACCCCTCACACGTTTCGTGGCCACACAAGAGCTCCGCCCAAAGTCCCACTGGCACAGTCCGCATGCGTCCCCGCCGCTCATTTCGGCACACCCTTCACACGTTTCGTGGCCCCATAGGAGCTCTGCCGAAGGTCCCACTGGAACAGTCCGCATGCGTCTCCGCCATTCATGTCGGCCCACCCCTCACACGTTCGTGGCCCCACTCCACCGAAGGTCCCCGTGGCACAGTCCGCATGCGTTCCCGCCATTCATGTCGGCACACTCCTCACACGTTTCGTGGCCCCACAGGAGCCCCACCGAAGGTCCCAGTGGCACAGTCCGCGCGCGTTCCCGCCACTCATTTCGGCACACCCCTCACGCGCTTCGTGGCCCCATAGGAACTCCACCGACGGTCCCCGTGGCGCAGTCCGCATGCGTCCCCGCCATTCATTTCGGCACACACCTCACACGTTTCGTGGCCCCATAAGAGCTCCGCCGAAAGTCTCATTGGCACAGTCCGCATGCGCCCCCGCCATTCATTTCGGCACACCCCTCACACGCTTCGTGGCCCCGTAGGGAACTCCACCGAAGGTCCCCGTGGCGCAATCCGCATGCGTCCCCCTTGCCCAGTGCAATGCTACGTGGCCCCATATGGAGCCCCACCGCAGGTCCCAACCAGCCAGCTAGCTCTCTTTGCTCCGCGCAGCGGACGACCCGCGCGCGTCGCTGGGACCCCTCCGGGGCAACCTGCGCGCGTCGCGGGGGTTCCGTGCTGCGTTCTGCCCAGCGCCTCGCTCGCCCGTCGTCGCACTGCCCAGCGGCAAAAGCCTTGCCCGTTATCAGCCAGCCAGCTGGCTCTCTTTGCTCCGCGCAGTGGACTACGACCCGCGCGCGTCGCTGGGACCCCTCCGGGGCGACCTGCGCGCGTCGCGGGGACTCCGCGCTGCGCTGCGCCCGCAGCCTTGGACTTTTGAGTGCGCGGGCAAAGAGGGAGTAAAGGAAGGGGAGGAAGCGGGCGCGATCCTCGCGGGGGGGCGCGCCGACATTGGCGTCGCGGCGCGCGGGCGATGCCGTCGGGGAGTCCCGGGGAAGCTCCTTGCGGCGGCCACGCCGAGCGTCACGAGTACTCAGAGGCAGTCATTGTCAAAGTATTGGCGTTCATATACAAGCGCACCACGACTTGTCATAGTCGCATTCATGCACGTAGACTCGCTCGCACGCAGATTCATTCACAGTCTGACGCACGCGCGCAGATTCACCCGCGTTCAGTCTCCCTACGTACTCAGATCAATCGTTTTCGTTCGCGTTGTGTACCACGCCACTCATGTCGGCACACCCCTAGCACGGTTCGTTGCCTCATAGGGATCGCCACCGAAAAAGTGAATCACTATTGCGGTACTCACACCTGCATATGGTTGGGTCCCTCGCGTCAGGCTAATTTGGAGAAGGGGGAGGAGGGACAGGGGGGAGAGCGGACCACCGATGAGCACCGTACCGCCACGTGCGTCCTCTCGGTGACAAACTGGATCTCCAACCCAAGCACACATTCTGCAGCTACTGGCGAAAGCGAGAGCATGCCGAGTCGAAACGCGCAGCAAAAACGGAGGTGGACTGCAGACTCCCGCGTCCGCCGATGCATTCAAATGGTCGCGGCCACAATGTGCTTCGGGATGCCGCACAAAATGGGAGAAGGCAAAGCGTGAACATAGAATACAACATGTAAACTCGCGCGTGCGTACCCCTCACCAGAACATGACTCATGCTGGCGGGACTCGCACTGGAGCCCAACGCGAGCGGGGAGGAAGGCAAGGAGGAAGAGGAGGAGCAAAGCGGGAAAAGACAGCGCGGAGACGAGCGGAGACGTGCTCAGAAAACCTCAATGCCAGGGCAGAGGCACCAAACCCTGGGGGCCGGCATATCATACAACCGGTAAGCACAAACTACCTAGTTGCGAAGGTGACTGTCATGGTGCGCGCCAGGCCTGCTGTCACCCCAATGATGGGGCCGAGGGCCGACGGTTTGCAAGACTCTGAGGGGCGAAGCGCCTGGCAGGCAAGCTAGGCTCGCCTGGCGGGACACCAGGGCCGCAGAAAACCTGCCTGTCGGTCGACGAGGAGGCCGACGCCTGGAGGCCGAGATCCAAGCTCCAGCATGAAGAAACGAGATTAGCTCAACTAGGGCATGCACGTGCAAACAGCTTCACGAGGAAGAGGAGAAGGAGAAGGAGGAAGAACAGGAGGAGGCGACGAGGACCCCGCAAGAGACGGGGGAGGACGGGCCCAAACGTTTCTCGAGCCGACGAGAAGGAGGGGACACCGACACCACCTAAAAGCCGATCCAGCTTGTGACACCGCCACGACACAGCCAACCTGAAAGGAAGACAACCGCACTAATGCCCTGAAGGCGGCGCGAAAGACGTGGTTTGGCTTTCTGTGTAGCTCGTGCGGCCGGCGACCTGATTCAGCCACACCCTCCAGAGCGTTCGGGACGAGTGTCCCTATAATCAACTAGGGCGACACAGCAGGGTATAATCAGCTAGATGCAGGACTCAGCATCTGGCCAGTCCTGCGACATGAGGTCACTGCCGAAAACGCCCCCCCCCCCAGAGGGGCTACAAGCCCCCGGAAGACCGGGGACCGCCCCCCGACGACGACGACGACGACGA